CCACAGAGTCACAGAGCCCAGACCTGCAGCCCTGCCTTCCCACCCAGCAGCCCCCCACGCCCCGAGGCTCCGCACCCCCGTTCTCCAGCAGCTTTCCCCTGTAGATCTTGTCCTCCACCACGTCGGTCCAGTACAGGGAGCTCTGGTTGAGGTGGAAGTCCAGGGCGATGGTGTTGCGCAGCCCGGGCACCAGGACACTGTAGTCCCCCCGGTGCAGGTCGATGCGACGGATCTCGTGGCGGTTGGAGAATATGATGAACGGCTTGAAGGGGTCTGGGGGGAGCAGGGACGGGTCAGAGGGGGCACGGACAGGGCAGGGGATCGTGTGCCTGGCCCCAGCCCCAGCTACGGGCACAGCGAGGGGTCTGCTGTCAGCAGGCAGGACCCAGCCACGCCCATCAGCGCAACCCTCAGCTCCGTGAGGACAAATCCCCACCCGAGGCAGCCGGGGGGCTGCTGCCAGCCCCTGCAGCCCCCCCCTCACACACCCAGGCTGCGGCAGCTCTCGCCGTCGGGCTCCAGCATCCAGCCCTCGTAGCAGGAGCACTTGACGTTGTACTTGTCCTGCTCGCACTTCTGGCTGCACTTGAGGTGCTTGGCACAGTAGCTCTGGATCTGGCAGGTCTTGTTGTCGGCGCCCAGCTCCATGCCCAGGGGGCAGGAGCACACGATGCCCTCGCCGGGGGCCACCGTGCAGTTGTGGCTGCAGCCGCCGTTGTTGAGGGAACACTGGTCTGGGGGGACAGGACGGGCTCTGGTCACCTCCTGGTCACCTCCCGGTCACCTCCCGGGACACGCCGCGTCCCCACCCCTTCCCCGCACTCACCGCAGAGCTCGCCCTCGTCGGAGCCGTCGCCGCAGTCGTCGGAGCCGTCGCAGAGCTTCTCGGGGGGCAGGCAGATGGAGGTGTTGTTGGCACAGGTGTGCGAGGGGGGTTTGCACACCAGAGACTCGCAGTTCTCCTCGTCAGAGTTGTCCTCGCAGTCGCTGTCCCCGTCGCAGACCCAGGCCTTGCTGATGCAGCGGGCTGAGGGGGAGGGCGCGGGGAGGGGGCAGAGCAGACCCAGAGGAGATGTCATTCCAGGCACTTGGGGTGCTCCAGAGCTGGTGTCCCTCCACCCCTTGTCCCCAACCCGCCAAGGCAAGTCCCAGCCCCTTCCCCAGGTCAGAGGGGGAGAAGGGATCCGAGGACGACGCCGTCCGTCGAGACCACGGTTTGTGGGTTGGTTTGTGGGTCGGCTGCTCGTGTTCCCCCATTTCCCCGGCGCTGGGAAGGGCAGCTCAGCACCCCCTGTGTGGGTCCCCTCCCTCCCCTCGCTCTCACCCGAGTCCTTGCAGCCAAACTTGACGTTGGGGTCGCAGACGTGGGTGACGCCCTCGCAGTTCTTCTCGTCGCTGGAGTCCATGCAGTCGGTGTCGCCGTCGCAGCGCCAGCGCATGGGGATGCACAGCCCGTCCAGCCGGCACTGGAACTCGTCCGCGTGGCACCCCCCGGGCGGGCGCGTGGCTGCGGGGAGGGGGCTGCTCACTGCCTGCGCCCCGAGGAGCCCGGGGGCTCAGGGGTGGGGGGGATCAGATGGGGGTTCCCTGCTCCCAGCCAGCAGGGGAAGAGCC